AAATACTTGCACAATGAATTTGTCATTTCATTTTTCTTGTTTCTAAATCTCGTGGGATTAAAGCAATAGTTATTATTTAAAAAAATATGTTTTGGTGTAGGTGGACACAATACCTTTATATTTTTATGTGGTACTGAGGATCGAACTCAGTGCCTCAAAGGTGCTAAGCAAGCGCTCTACCACTGAGCCACAATCCCAGCCCGCCATAGTTATTTTGATACTTGTTATATTAAATAAATCTTAACAGACCCAAAAAGAAGAAAAAACATCTCTCAGACCACTAAAGTTTCAAGATAGATCAGCTTAGGACCTGATCACCTCTTCTGAGTTGATTCAAATCAAGTTTTTGTAGTTCTGTTTTACTTTGTTGTAAAAATAATATATGGGCTTTACTTTCTTGAAACCTGATGCCTTTCCCTTGAATAATGTATGCTTTTGTTCTATGAGGCTCTGCTGTTCAGGCTGTTAGCCATTAGCTATGTGTGGCTATTTAGATTTAAATAAATTAAAAATAAAATTAGTCAGGTAGTCCCAGTTATTTGGGAGGCTGAGGCAGAAGGATCACTTGAGCCCAGGAGTTTAAGACCAGCCTGGGCAGCATTGTGAGGCTCCCATCTTAAAAAGGAAAAAAAAGAAAAATTAAAAGTTCAGTGTCTTAGCTTTCATTTCAAGACTTAAAAACCATATTGGACAGTATAGGACTGGGCCTGCCATCACTGCAGGAAGCTATGGGCATTGTTCATCAAAGCTGTGTTTGGAGACAAGGGGTTGGGTTGGGTATTTTTCCTATTTAGGATGTTAGATATTTACAATTTTGGTACTCATTCTTGAACCCTTTCTGCTTTTTTAGCATGTCTGACTTCTGGTGTTAATTAAGCATTGGGTCCTTTTCATACTGGATTAATCATGTATGACTGTGTATATTCATTATTTTTTTCTGCTTTTGGATAGTTCCTTGTTTTTCTTACACTATTTGGCTTATTTATAGTAAGTACCAATTCACTGAACACTTCTAAGCACTGGGGAATTGGTAATATAAGATATCTCTGTCTTCTTGGAATTTACATTCATCATTGTTGTTTCTTAACCTCTCACAAAACCAAGTTGCTCTAATTAATTATAAAGTTTCTTGTCTGATAATCAAGTGGTCCCAACTTGACTAGTGGGAGCCCCTTTGATTGTAATGGCTTCTCTGCCCTTTAATATACCCCTGAAGTTTTAGAAGTCTGCCTGCTTTTTGTAACAACTGGTTATTTCACACCATCTGGTCTTGGCTTTTTTTTGTTTTAAATCTTCTCCAGCTTTGGCATCCAATCATCTGCACATTAGGGGTGTCTGATGACTGGCAGTGGAGAGGTGCCTTTCTCAAGTCAGCAGTTCACCCACTGACCCATGTAGCTTTTATCTCATTTTCATGGAGTATGAGATTTTGTCAATAAGTCACCACTGATAACTAGCCATGTCTGCTGAACCTCCTGTTTTCTTCCTATACAATTAAATCTGGCTTCCTGGCCATCTACTCTGAAATTGCACCTTTTGAGGATTCTGTGACTGCTCCAGTGTAAACCTCATGGTGAAGTCCCTCTGGGATGTGGCTTACCAGCATCCTTTGCCTTCTCATCCGTAAGCCTCATCTCTGTTTGCCTCCTGTGATACCTGAAGCTGTGGGTTTCTTATAACCTAGATTACTGCAAGGCTCAGATTCTATTGCTTTTTCCTCTCTTGAATTGAGGGGTGCATATGGCAACAGCAGAGGCAGTAGAAGTGTCAACCAGAGGCTTGGCCTTCCCTAATGTGTTCAGTTTATTTTCCAGGTTTATGTTAACATTTATCTGTTGAAGGTCCGACTTGCATCCTGGCCTCAACTGGTTAAGTTTGTCCAACTGGCTGCCGGACTCTTCAGGCTCAGCATGTTCACAAGTCGCCTCCCAACTGTCCTTCCCTGTGCTTAAGTCAGAGACCTAGAATCTTTCTCCAGGCTTCTCGTTCTCTTCTATTCCATACTTTTCTGTCAGTAAAGTCTACCCCAATTCAAGTTGCTACCTTTGAGTTAATAGATTTACTAAGTGCCTGGCCTCAACTCTTGCCCTGTTCATGTGGCTTCTTTCCTTAAGGAAGGAGGCCATGTCTTCTCTGTGCTCAGACTTTTTGATGCCTCTGCTTCTTTCTTACTATAAAAGCCTCAAGTTCTTACATGTCCTGGCCTCTCTTCTCTTGAAGCTTCTTGTCCTCCTGATGTTCATTTATCCCCCTTATTGCCCTGTGACTTTTGCCTGGCATCCTCCTTTTCTTGGGGGCGATACCGGGGATTGAACTCAGGGGCACTTGAACACTGAGCCACATCCCCAGCCCTATTTTGTATTTAGACATAGGGTCTCACTACTGAGTTGCTTAGCACCTTGGTTTTGCTGAGGCTGGCTTTGAATTTGAGATCCTTTTGCCTTAGCCTCCCGAGCCACTGGGATTATAGGTGTGTGCCACCACACCTAGCCTGGCACCCTACACATCATATTCACAACTGCGCTTTCCTGCTCTGCACATGCATATCCCATTACCCTCACCTATGCTAATATTCCCCTTGAGATAGTTTATCATGAGGGCCTAAGCGTGTGTGTGTGTGTGTGTGTGTATGTTTGTTTGTGTGTACTGGGAATTGAATCAGAGGGTGATTTGCCACTGAGCTACATCCCCAGTCCTTTTTTTTTTTTTAAATTTTGAGACTGTCTTGTTAATTTGCTGATGGTCTTACTAAATTGCTGAGGTTGGCCTCAAACTTGGATCCTCCTGCCTCAACCTCTTATGTGGCTGGGATGTGTTACTCTTAATATTCCAAGGACCTTTAATGGTGCCTGAAAGTAGATATTTTGTAAATATCAATAGCTTTTGAAATCTTAACCCATTTAGACTTGTTATCATTTTAGTATTAAAAGTCTATTTTCCTGTATAATAAAAATGCTTTTGAGAAATTTCTCACTTGTTGGTTATATTCTATAATTTTTTACATAAGGAATTTGATGTTCAGGAGCTTTTGAGGCATTCAACTGGGATTAAAGCTTTGACCTTAATAAGTCCAATTCTGTGCTGTTGATGGTATAGCACTCTTGAAGGAGAGAGCTTTGAGCCCTTGTGTCATTCTCTCTCCTACAGGCTACTTTATTGGCTGTTGTGTGGCCTAGGCAATAGATGGGGCCAAGTTTCTGAGTGTTTGTGCACATGTTACTGAGGTGGTCAGGGCTTTTGATGACTCAGCCCCCTTGCTGAGGGATCTCTTGTTTCTGCCAGTGCTCCTTTCTCTCAGTGCTTGGTCACTTCCAGCAAATTGCTTGTGCTCCATAGGTGACTGATCTTACCTTGTTCTAACATCAGTCTTTTTTTTTTTTTTTAATATTTTTTTTTAGTTGTTGATGGACTTTTATTTTATTTATTTTTTATTTTTATTTTTTAATTTGTTTTAATTAGTTACACATGACAGTACAATGACCTTGACACATACATTTGAATCAGATGGGATATAATATCTCATTTTTCTGAGTATACAGGTTGCAGAATCACATTGGTCATGCATTCACATATATACACACAGTAATAATCATGTCTATTTCATTCTACTATCCTTCCTATCTCCCCAGCCCCTTCCCTCCCCTCCCATCACTTCTCTCTACCTAATCTAGGGTAACACTATTCTTTTTTTTTTTCTCATATCTTCATACATGTATTTTGTATAACAGTGAGGGTCTCCTTCTACCATCCATGCAATTCCCTTTCTCCCTCCCTTTCCCTCCCACCCCTCTTCCCTATGTAGAGGTAATCTTCCCATGCTCTTCCTCTCTTCCCCATTTTGAGTCACCCCCCTTATATCAGAGAAGATATTCGGCATTTGTTTTTTTGGGGGGATTGGCTAACTTCACTTAGCGCATAATCTGCTCTAATGCCATCCATTTCCCTGAAAATTCCATGATCTTATTATTTTTTAGTGCTGAGTAATATTCTATTGTGTATATATGCCACATTTTTTTTTTTTATCCATTCATTCATTGAAGGGCACCTCCACAGTCTAGCATTGTGAATTGTGCTGCTATAAACATTGATGTGGCTGTGTCCCTATAGTATGCTCTTTTTAGGTCTTTTGGGTATAGTCCGAGAAGAGGAATGGGTCAGATGGTGGTTCCATTCCCAACTTTCCAAGGAATCTCCATACTGCTTTCCAAATTGGCTACACCAATTTGCAGTCCCACCAGCAATGTATGAGTGTGCCTTTTTCCCCCTCGCATCTTTGCCAGCACTTGTTGTTATTTGTCTTCATCATGGTTGCCATTCTTACTGGAGTGAGATGGTATCTTAGAGTAGTTTTAATTTGCATTTCTCTGATTGCTAGAGATGATGAGCATTTTTTCTTAGCAGTGCTAAGAATGGAACCAAGTGCCTCACACAAGCTAGTAGGCAAGCTCTCTACCACTGAGCCACAACCCCAGCTGCCCGACATTAGTCTTGATTTCTATTTGTCTACTTGCACATTGCTTCTACACATTTCAGTAGTTTCTTTACTTATTTAGTTAGGCCATTGAAAACTCTGTTAACACCCATGTCTTCCAATGAATTCCATATAAAATCAGTTTTCAGGTCAGGTTGTTTTGACTTTGGAATCGGTATACCCTTTATCAAAACTTTTCCTTCTGTTTATGAATTCCTGTAATTTTTTCTTTACCAGGTATTGCTCATAGATCCTTTCTTTTTCTTTCAATTATTGTCTTTGGTTAGGCCTTTATTATCTCATGCCGTGTTATTATAGTCAGCTTCTAAGGGGTGTGGTCTCTGCTTTCTAGAATTGTTAATGATATAAAGTGAAAGTCTCACCTGATTCCCTATTCCTTTCTCCAAAAATCCAGTCATTTATTGCCTAAGCCTTTTCTGATGTTGGTTTTGGGCTATTGTTTCATTGATGTGTCTCTTTGGTCCTTTTACTTTTAAATCTAATTTTTTTTTTTTTTTGCTGGGGAGAGGCTTTGAAACAGCAAGTAGCAGATTTACAAGAAGATTTGAAAAGAAAGGAAGCAAAATGGTCAAGCACACACGGTCGTCTCAGAAGCCAGATAGAAATGTTAGTCAAAGAGAACACGGATCTCCGGGAAGAGATAAAAGTGATGGAAAGATTCCGAATTGATGCCTGGAAGAAAGCAGAAGCAATTGAGAGCAGCCCTAAGGCCTACCAGTGTATGACTGCCACAAAAAACGATGAGTCTGTGGTAGGTTTTGGAGTCTAGCTGGTTTTGTGAGGTCAGAGGGTGATGGTAAATATTCAAGCATTCAAATTCATAAAGACAAAGTGGAATGGTAGATGCCAGGAACTGGGGGACAAGGAGTTAGTATTTAGTGTGTTAAAAATTATAGATTTATAAGATCACAAGGTTATAGAGATGGTTGGACAACTGATGTTATACAACAACAGTGTGAATGTACACTGAAGTGTACCTTTAACAATGGTTAAGATGATGAATTTTAGCTGGATGGACATGGTGCATGCCTGTAATACCAGCCACTTGGAGCCTGAGGCAGGAGGATCACAAGTTCAAGGCCAGCCTCAGCAACTTAGTAAGGCACATTCTCAAAATCAATAATTTAGCTCAGTGGTAAAACACCCTTTTGTTCAATTCCTAGTACAAAAACAAAAATTTCGTGGATTTTTAGGTTATGTGTATTTTACCATAATTAAAATTCTTTTGGGGGCTGGGGATGTAGCTTAGTTTGCAGAGCAGTTGCCTAGCAGTGCAAGGCCCTGGGTTCAGTCCTGTATGCTTTGCTATACAGTTACTTGACAAATTTATTTTATTTTTTTGTATGGGAGATTTAACCAAAGGGTGCTTTACCATTGAGCTGCATTTCTAGCCCTTTTTGTTTTTTGAGACAGAGTCTCACTAAGTTGCTGAGGCTGGCCTAGAACTTGTAATCCTTCAGCCTCAGCCTGAAGTCACTAGAATTACAAGTCACTAGAATTACAGGCAGTGTGCCCAGCTCAAATTTATTTATTTACTTATTTTAATTTTTTAAAAAATATTTTTTAGTTGTAGATGGGCATAATACCTTTATTTATGGGGTGCTGAGGATTGAACCCAGTGCCTCACATGTGCTAGGCGAGTGCTGTATCACTGAGCCATAACCCCAGCCCTTCATATTTATTTTTATACTTCTTACAAAGGAGGAAGGAGGTATTCTACAATAGGTTAGATAACCTCAGTTTAAAAGAACCAAATGTATGTCAAGTTTTTGCAGTCACATACATAGGCTTCTTTCTAATCAGGGTACTGGTCTTTCATTTATCTGTGTGAATAACCAGGCTGTGGCAGGCATATGGGGGTACAGCAGTGAGCAAAACAGACAAAATTCCTTGCCTTCATGGAATTTATTCTAGTAGCAGCAGAAAGATTTTAAATAGAATAGATAAATAAATGTGTGGTATGAAATAGTGATGGGACTAAGGGGAAAAAAGCAAGACTGGAGGAGATAGCTGTTGGGGTGTGGAGCATGGGGTACTACCATTTGGATAGGATAGCTGGGTAGGATTCCTTACTAAAGAAGAATGGCTTGCAGGAGGAAGCAAGGACATGCTGCGAGGATAAGGCACTGGAACTGACTGAGTGGGAGAGCTGCTGGGGACAGAACTGGAGGGAGATGGAACATGTTGGATTCACTAGGCCCTAACAGGTTCATATGAGCACTTGGGCTTTTCTTGAGTGAGTTACAAGCCCCTGGGGGTCAGGGTGGCCTGCCCCTTTATTTTAGTAAGCTTACACTGTCTGCTACAGACTGAAGGAATAGATGGGAGGGCAAAATGGGCCTTGTCAGGAACACAGGGATTGTTTTGATGATTGGTGGCTGAGATTGGTTAGCGGCACTGGAAGATCTGAAGTGGACTAGATTTGTTGATGAACTGGTACAGGGATGTGACAGCAAAAGAGGAGTTAAGAATAACTTCCCATCACTGTTTAGTTTGCTTTTGGCCTAATGGAGCCCAAAAGAAACCTGAAGAAAAGCAAGTATTTTCAGGGAGTATGGCTACTAGGAGCTCAGATGTTGTCAAGGAAGTAGGAATAGTAGGAAAAAAGTAGGAAAAGTAGGAATAAAGTCTAGCCATTATGTGGAGATGCTGCTGTGGCATTTATACAGATGCTGTGGGTTGCACTTGGGGTCTTCTGAATGTGTGCTGAAGCATTAGGCCAGGGGAGACCACTGGGGCTGTGAATGGATAGGGAAGAGCTAGCTCTGAAACAAGGGATGAAGAGAGTGAACAGCCTGACAGCAGGTAGAATGGAGGCCAGTGTGGTGTCCTGAGGCAAATGAAGAAAGTACCTTGAAGAGGAGAGTTCCTTACTATATAGGTTGTTGCTGCAGAGTAAGGACTGAGACCAGCCATCTGATTTACCAAATTGAGATAACTGCGGTGGGCAATAAATCTGTTGTCTTGGAGTAGTGAAGGTGAAAGCCTGACAAGAGAGAATGCGATACAGTTACATACAAAGCCCAAGAGCTCTGTGGTGAGGTGTGTAGAGGCTGAAGAGAAGGATTTTTGTGTTTTTCAAGATAGGAAAATGAACAGATGAGGACAAATGTGTATGTTTATAGTATTGATTCAGTGGAGAGGAAGACGCTGATACAGGAGAAAGTAGGGGAATGTCCAGAGTGGCATCTTGGGACAGATGATGGGTAGGTCTGGGAATGAATGGAGGGTTGGTCCTGGCCAGGTATAGGCTGCTGTACCTGATGACAGGCTAATGCTGGTGGCAGCTGGTAGTAGGTCCCCTCTAAAGCTTTAACTTTCTCAGGGAAGCTGAAGCATGCTCATTAGCTGAGGGGGGTGGAGGAGGAGTTGTAGGAGGTTGAAGAGGAAGGAGAAAGTGAAAAGTAGTTTTCTGAGTGGAAAGCAGGAGGATTGTGGAGGTAGGGAGGCTGATTCAGGGCTTTACTGGGGCCTACCTGGGTTAGAGACTATAAGTGAAAAGACAATTTTTTTTTCCTTCAGTTTTTTGGGTGTAAGGTGGCAGAAAATTATATTTTAGCAAACACATAGTCACACAAGTGAAAGCCAAAATGAGAGAGGTATGTGGAAGTTGGCAAGACAAGAGTGACTACAGTGAACCATGAATTTAAACTGTATTAGAAGGCATAAGACTACAAGGTACTGAGGACATCACAAAAATATATGAGTTAATGAACTGTTAGGCTATGCATTGTCAGTGTCAGTTTTAGAGGAATGAGCTATAGAACGATAGATGGGTGGTAAGGAAGTGGCATTCTCCTTTACTCCACTAACACTTTATTATGGAACTGCACCAAAAAGAGAACAAATGAAGACTAATATGATTATGTTAGTCAGCTTTCTGTCTCTGTTACAAAATACTTGAGTTAAACAATTAAAAGGAAGAAAAGTTTATTTTAGCTCACAGCTTTATTCCATGGTCATTTGACCCCATTGTTTTGGGCCTGTGGTGAAGCCAGACATTATGGTGGGGAGTATGAGTTGAGCAGAGCTGCTTACCGCGTGGTAGCAGGGAAGTGATAGGGTAGAAGGAAGGGTCCCAGGTCCCAATATTCCCTTCATGGACCTACTTCCCCAAATAGGCCCCATCCTTAAGTAGTTTCCACAACCTCCCAGTATTTCTCTTATCTGGGGACCAGGCCTTCAACACATAAATTTTTGGAGGGGACATTTAAGATCTAAATCATAACATTAAACACCTGAAAACTCACTTAGAGTTAACCACCATGAGCACTTTTTTGTACTTTTGTATATGTTTTGCTAAGGTAATTTGAAGGTAATTGTAGTAATCAAGGCGTCTAATCCTTAAATATATTAGCATTTTATTAAATGGCATTGAGTTTTTAAAGGCTAATTAGTTGGTGGAATGCCCCACCTTGTGGATCTTTGTAAGTGGAATGCTTTGAAATTCTGATTTTTGCACTTAGCTGGTAATTGTGGGTATTGATGATATTGATAATGTCAGATTCTAGGGTTTGCTCATTGGGATTTCTAGCTGAGGCAGGACAAAATATAGATTCAGGGAGTAAGGTCAAGACAGAGCAGGGTTTAGCTAGGTTTAGCCTTTGAGGGTATGACAGCTCCTGGAAGAGGCTGACTGATCATGAGGCCTGTGCTCACCTCACTAATTATGCTCTCTGATATGATATTTTGAAGAATGAATATATATAAAAGGAATATATGTGTATAGTTCATTCCTAGATGACAGGTAGGTCACTTCAGCCTACTGTGATAATAAAAAAATAAAAACAAGAATAAACAGACTTATAGTGTTCTTATCACTAACTTGAGTTTTGCTAGTTTCACTCAGTTTACTGATGTATAGACTAACACTCCTTTTATATTCAATTATCTCTAATACTTTAGAACCCATCTATTCGATTTCAAAAGAGCCACATTTCTTCAGGAACCCAGGTAGAAAAATGTAAGAAAAATTATTTGCCAACACAAGGTAAGAGGATGCATGGTTTTTTAATAAAATATTTCAGAATTTAAAGAATGGAGAATTTATAACCACTTTAAGAAATAAAACATTATAGATATAATTGAAGCCCCTGTACATCATCTACAGGTAGTAATTCCTGATAATATTCTGTACTTTTCTTTTTATTATTTTGCTACATTGTGTTCATAAATTGATATAGCATATTTTATATTCTGCAATTTGCTTTTTTTCTCTGAGTATTTTAAGATTTAAGTACATTGATACTTAAAAACTCTGGGTGACTGATTTTAAGAGCTCTACAGATCCCACTGCATATTTCCACAGTTAAGCGTCCCTGTTGCTGAGCATTTAGGTTCCCCCAGGTTTGCAGAATGATGTACAGGGCTACAGAGTGGGTCCTGTTGATATGGCTTTTCCAGGGTATGTATCAGGAGGAGGATGCTGGGTCATGTTAAGAGTGTGTGCACTTATTTTTATAATGTATGGGTTACATGATTTACTGTGCTGGCGATGACCTAAAAAGCTTAGGCTGCTGCCACTTGAACATACTGGTCAAGCCAAATTCTCTTTATTCTTGAATGCCTCTTTTATCTGTACCCCACACCAGTCTCTTAGCAGTCCTTGTTGATTGTCTTTAGAATATCATGGGTCTGTTATTTGAGCCCTTGTTTCTTCCTCTGCACTGTGTATCCTCTGAAAACAGATATTGTCATTGTCTTTGTTGGTCACTGAAGCCATAAGTACTTGTATAAATATTGGAATTCATATAATGGTAAACTCCTACAAATCAGTAGAGAAAAATACTAAGATTTCCTTAGTTAAAGGATAAAGGACAACAGTTCACAAAAGGATACAAATTAAAGAAATGTTTGACTGTATTTGTAAGTTTTAACATTAAAAAAAATTTTTTAATTGTAGATGGACATATTGCCTTTGTTTATTTTTATGTGATGCTGAGGATCGAACCCAGTGCCTCACATATGCCACTGAGCTACAGCCCCAGCCTCTGTTTTAACATTTTAAATTTTGAAACTAACCCTTCAATTTTATCCTAGCAGGGAATCCATCTCAAAGATCCAAGTCTGTACCTGTTCGTGATTTAGGCAGCTCGGATAAAGGACAAGTAAATCTTTTTTAATTTTTGTATATTCAAATAGATTACTCAGGCTTGATATTGATGTTAAGTTTCTAAACTAGTATAAGGGAGGCTTTTATTTAACATTGTATATTTAGCACCGAGTACTAGTCCTAGAACCCTATAATGGTAGAATTCTGTCTTTTGGAAATAAGTATATGTTTAAGCTGCTTGAAATGTCTTGTCTTATAGGCTGCCTTGCCCAGGGAGCCACTTGAACTGGTAAACTTCCCAGATTCTGAATATAAAAAGAAGGAAGAAAAAGAAGAAATTCAGGGAGAAATCAATCATCCTGATGGAAAGGTTAACAAAAAAAATTCTTAAAGATACTGAATGATTTAAAAAATAAACATTGGCTAAAATAGAGTGGAATGCTTAGATTATAAAATATGGTCATGTGTTACATAATAACAGGGATCCATTCATCTGTGTTGTTAAGTGATTGTATCATAATGTGAACATTAGAATGTACTTATATAAATCTAGATGGTCATATATGTATAGGACCTCCGGGGGCATATAATTTTAGGGCTGTGATGAACAGAATGTTTACTCAAGATTAAATGAAGCACAAGAGAAAATGATGCAATCAAAAGATGCATTAAGCAGATTTATGAGGCTGTTCTTGGTGGAACATGCACATTGCTCACAGTAAATTTGTAAGTAGTAGTATATGCTAAAATAACAGTAAAAAATGTAGAGAGTATATAAACTGGTAAAATAGTTATCAAGTTTACATATTTTCCATAATCATATATGTTTAATTTTCTGTACAACCATCAGTGCAGGTTTGTTTACACCAGCATCACCACTAACATGTAATGCCATTGCACTGTTACCACCTCTACATTGCTAGGTGATACGATTTTTCTGTTGCATTATCATTATGGGAGAACACTGTCCTATGTGTCACCCATTATTGATGGGAATGTTATCATGTGGTACTTGACTGTAGTTGATTCCCCCTCCCCCCCCCCCCAATACTGGGAGTTGGACTCAGGGCCTCTATGCATGCTAGACGAGTACTGCTGAAGTGCTGAGTTATACTTAGCCATTTTAAAAAAAAAATATTTTGAGACTGGGTTTCACTAAGTTGCTAGGCTGGTCTTGACCTTGTGATATTCCTGCCTCAGTCTCCTAGGTAGCTGGGATTAGTGGTTTAACTTCAGGACTGTAGGGGTTTGAACATTTGGACTGTAAAAAATGCTCAGTGTGTCATATGCATTTAGTTGCCATTTCTAGTTTAGTGATATAGCAAAAGAAGGGAATACACCTGTGCCAGAGCTAAGCCTTTGTAGTTCATTCTAGCCCTCATCTTTTGCAGCCTTTCTTATGTTGGTCCTGACACAGGGGCCTCTCTCTTCATTCTAGCCTATATAGTTTGAGTCTTGTGCTTAGGAAAGTTGACTGGATATACCCAGCTGGGTATGCCCATTGAATGAGGAAATGAAAAAGGGTTATAAACAAGGTCTGCATATTGTAGAGAGGTGTGAGGGCTTTTTTCCCCCCTTTAGTTTTATGCAAAACCTGCTTTTTCAGATAATCAAATCTGATACATTTGAATTGAAATTATAAGACCAACGTTTAATCAGTGTTCAACTTGAACAAGAGGACAACAAAGAATACAGTCAAAAGATTTTGATTTTCCAGAAAATCTCCTGCAGAGTAACAAATCATTGATATAAGGAAAGGTTTTCTATTTTTATTAGAGAATTCCAGCTAATAAATGGAAAAGGAATAAACAAATTGAAAAATCACCAGAAACCTCTAATGAAATAATGGATCTTCTTTACTTTTTTAAAAAAAAATATTTATTTTTTTAGTTTTAGGTGGACACAATATCTTTATTTTTCATTTATGTGGTGATGAGGATTGAACCCAGTGCCTCATGCATGCTAGGCGAGCACTCTACCACTGAGCCACAACCCCAGCCCCAAATCTTTATACTTTTCAGACAATGTTTTACTTTTTATTATGAAAGATTTCAAAGCAGGCACTTAGAATTTGGCATATTATGGTTATGTGGTCTCAGGAGGATATCTTACCTACAGATAATCTTGTGTTCTTTTAGGTGGAAAAGGTTTATAAGAATGGGTGCCGACTTATACTATTTCCCAATGGGACTCGGAAAGAAGTAAGCGCTGATGGCAAGAGTGTTACTGTCAATTTCTTTAATGGTGATGTGAAGCAGGTCATGCCAGATGAAAGAGTGGTATGTTTTCCCAGGGATGTTTTCTTTAAGCTCAACCATTTGAACCATCTTGGGAGAAAGGGCTTCCTGACCTTATGTCTTTACAGATCTACTACTATGCTGCTGCCCAGACAACTCACACTACATACCCAGAAGGACTTGAGGTCTTACATTTTTCAAGTGGACAAATAGGTACAAACTTGCTCTATCCTCCTTTATTAAATTCTTCCCTTTATTTAAAAATAAAATAAAAGATTCATGGTAACCTTTTTAAAACAGAAAAACATTTCCCAGATGGAAGAAAAGAAATCACGTTTCCTGATCAGACTATTAAAAACTTATTTGCTGATGGACAAGAAGAAAGCATCTTCCCAGATGGTACAGTTGTCAGAGTACAACGGTATGGCATCTGTTAAATTTGTTTCCAGATTCTGTTTACATGGTTCAACTTTTACTACCATAGGATTTTTAAAAATCTAAAACATTTACTTATGTCATTCAAAATTTCAGTGAGATCAGAGAACAAAGTTAAAGACTTAGAGAGCAGGTGAAACACAGTGTTAGCATTTTGAAGTTAAAAATAGTGAGAAATAAAGCCAGGCATGGTGGCACCCTTCTGTATCCCAGCAGTTCGGGAGACTGAGGCAAGAGGTTTGGGAGTTCAAAGCCAACCTGGCAAGACCCTGTCTCAAAATAAGAAAAAGGCTGGGGATGTGGCTTTAGTGGTTAAGTGACCTTTGGTTCAATCCCAGATACCAAAAAAATAAAACCCAAGAAATAGTGTGAGGTAACATGTTGTCTACACAATATTTCAGGAAAGGGGAATGACAAGTAGTTGTTTAAAAGTAAGTTTTTGTGCTGGGAACCATGGCGCACACCTGTAATCCCAGTGACTTGGAAGGCTGAAACGGGAGGGAGGATCATGAGTTCAAAGCCAGCCTCAGCAAAAATGAGGTGCTAAGCAACTTGGAGAGATGCTATCTCTAAATAAAACACAAAATAGGGCTGGGGTTGTTGCTCCAGTAGTAGAGCACTTGCCTAGCATGTGTGGGTTGAATTCTCAGCACCGCAATATAAGTAAATAAAGGTCCACCAACAACTAAAAAAAAAATTTAAAATTTGAAAACATTGAAATGAGACACAAAGAAGGCAGGCAGTACCCGGTAAAATTTTAAGAATGACAAACTTAAACTATGGCAGCAATATGTAAATTAAACTCTCTTTTCTCTCTTGCTTGTGTTCTGAATTTCTGCACCTCTTAAGTCTGTTTAAGTAGCCTCTCTGATCCAGTTCTTTTAAGTTCTTTAAAAATCACAACCTCATCTGTAATCACAGCGGCTGGGGAGGCCTGAGACAGGAGGATCACAAGTTCAAAGCCAGACTCAGCAAAAGCGAGACACTAAGCAACTTAGTGAGACCCTGTCTCTAAATACAATAGGGCTAGGGATGTGGCTCAGTGGGCAAGTGCCCCTGAGTTCAGTCCCTGGTTACCACCCCCCCCCCACACCCCATGAGTGTCACCTTTCTCAAAGATAATGTTTCATGGCCTTGCCTGCCCAATCCATAATAGTTTATTATCCTCACCATTTTAATTGCGACCATAATGAAACTACCAAATCCTGTTTTCTGTTTTTCCCCCTTTCTTAGAGATTGAAAGTACCTATTAAATGTTAGTTATATTTAACTAACTGAATTCTATGATATAAACTTGGCAAAAAACAAGGTAAAAACACTTAATAACTGGGGCTATAGCTCAGTGGTAGACTGCTTGCTTGCCTTGTGTATATGAGGCTCTGAGTTTGAACCCCTGTATTTACAAAATTTAAAAAAAAAATCACTCATTTAGATAACATAGACACTTCTTATGGTCATTTAGGCCCTTACCCTGACTGGAAACTTCATCTGGTATTCAAGTAAATAAGTAGCAGTCTGTTTTAAAATTAGAGGAAAAACATATAGTATATACTTCAAGTGCTATCAGAAAATTAAGATTTTTTTTCTTACATTTGAAATTTTGTGTAATAAAATGTAGAGAATATGATACAAAAGAATTTATATACCTGTTTATCCAAGTACTAACTCACAACCAGTCTTTTTCCATTTTTTCACAGACAAATCCCCGGATTATTTTGGCATTTCTAATTTATAGCAGTGGTTCTCAAAATTTAGTGTACATTAAAATCAACTGGATTGTTCAGGGTTATCTTGATGAGTCCCCTACTCCAGTAATTTATGTTTCTGATCAGTTCTTAAATGCTGCTGACACTGTGGAGGGCAGGAATCTCCTGGGTAAGCAGTAGCTTCTCAGAATGGCTTTGGAGTCCCCATACATGTACTCCTCATGCAGCCATTACATTTGTAGGAAAAGAAGAAACCACACAGTACTAGTACCAGTCTTTGTTCAGAAGTGGTGATTCCTAGTCTTCTACCCTATACTTCTCATTAGACTTGTGTCAGAGTTCAGTTTGAATGTCCACACATCAGGCAATCAACTTGGTGTTAATTTTTTCATTCTCTGCTTTAAAAAAATTTTATTGTGGTACTAGGGATTGAGCCCTGAGGCTATCATGAGTTATTACATCTTCAGCGCGCCCCCCTTCATTTATTTTTTAGTTGTAGTTGGACACAACACCCCTACTTCACCCGTTTACCCCTGTATGGGGTGCTGAGGACCAAACCCTGGGCCTCACGCGAGCGCTCCACTGCTGAACCACAACCTCAGCCCTCAGCCCCCCTTTTTTGAGACAGGATTTCAGTTGTTGAGGCTGGCCTGAACTGGAGAGTCTGCTGCCTTAGTCTCCCAAGTAACTGGGATTACAAATGTGTGCTATCATGGCCTATTGGCCTTTTTCATTGTTTCAAAATAGGCTGTCCTAAGTCTGATGATGCCCTTCCCAAGTACAGCTTTCTTCCCCACCTGATACAGAACAAGCACTTGGATGCTTTTAACTTAGTGAAAGGAGGGTCAAAACAAAACCACAAATACTCCAAAATAGCTAGATTTTAATATAATGATCAACTTTTTAGAAGCAGAACACATATAACATTAAAAAAAACAGGCATTTTTGTAGTAAAAATATGTTTATTAAAGCAAACTTTATCTGATAACTGAAGCCGTTAGCCTGCAGCAGAAATTCTATAGAAAGAACATGGAGCTGTAATAAGGACCAAAGGTATTGTCCACAAGAAAAATAACTGCAGAATCAAAAGGTTACTTTTAAGGAGTTTTCTTTCCCTTTGTGTGCACATTTTTCTTTTTCTTTTTTTAGTGGTGCTGGGATTGAACCCAGGCTAGGCATGCTAGGCCAGTGCTCTGCCACCGAGTTACGCCTCAGCCCTATTACATATTTTTAAAGAAATTCTATTTTAATTTTTACAGTGACGGCAACAAAATCATAGAGTTTAATAATGGCCAAAGAGAACTCCATACCTCCCAGTTCAAGAGAAGGGAATATCCAGATGGCACTGTTAAAACTGTCTATACAAATGGTCATCAAGAAACCAAGTATACATCTGGTCGAGTACGAGTTAAAGACAAGGATGGTAATGTCCTAATGGACACAGACTTGTAATGATCCTTGTATGACTATAATCATGAAGTAATACTGATTTTCCTGTCAAAAATGTATATTTCTTGTGAATTCTGTTTAATTTATTATAGATTCTGTGTGTATGTGTGTGAATAAATGTAAAAGATTATGTTTGCAGGAATGCATAGTTTCTTCATTTTAGATTTGAAATGCACAAGGACAGCTTTCATTTATAAGTCACCTATCCTGTCTTTTACTGTTAGTTCATACGTTATAATGTTTTCCTTAGTCTATGTACAAGTTTCTAAATAATGTTTTGCATTGGAGATGGTTGTAAAAACCAGGAAGTACAAGATGTATGTCACATAAATGCCTCCCAGGCACAGCAGCCATAGAACATGGACTTGCACAGAGTGCATGCTCAGGTGTCTCTCTCTCTCTAGCCAAAATATTAGTGTTCCATTAGTATTACAGTTAAAATGATCAACAGAGGCGCATTAATTTTAATAGAATGGGAAGTTACAACAGTGAGTGAATACATATATTTCCAACAGTATTACAGGTAGTGGTATATAATCTTATACTAATTAGTTATAACAAGGCTGAAAAAATAGGACACCTGAAAGAGAGGTGGCTGTGAATAAGTAACTAGCCTGGTACTGATGGACTGCACCTTTATGTTATCACCAATGATGCTGTAGACTGACAGAAGCGAGGTGTCTTGAAGAAGGGCAAGTCAGTCACCTCTCTATATCATAAATAGGACAATAAATTTTGATCAAACCTTGGTTTAAAAAAAAATATATATATTTTTTTGTATTAAGGATTGAACTCGGGGGTGCTCTACCACTAAGCTATATCCTCCTCATCTTTTAAAAATTTTACTTTGGATAGGGTCTCACTACATTGCTGGCTTGGAACTTGCAATCCTCCTGCCTTAGCCTCTGAGTAGCAGGTGTGTGCCACCTCCCCAGGGTAGGAAAGTAAGTTGATAATGACTCATTTGAAAAAAGAATGTATCAGCTCGTGCTGTGGTGCATTCCTGTAATCCCAGTTGCGGGGGAGACTGAGAGAGGAGCATTGTGAGTTCAAAACCAGATTCAGCAACTCAGTGAGATCCTATCTTGAGTACCCCTGAGTTCGATCCTTGGTAGCAAAAAAAAGAAGAAAAAATCAATTCCAGGTGATTTAAAAACTGAATATGAAAACAAAAGTTCACAACTTTTTCATGAAAATGAGCTATATTACCTCAGGATAGGGAAGGATTTTTTAAATAAGACACATACACACACACACACAAAAAAACCCCCACAAATCTTAAAGGTTATAAATAAGTGAAAAAATGTCAAAAGCTAGTACAAGAAAGGGAAAAGGATGCTGGTTGTGGTGGTGCACATCTATAATCCCAGCTACTCAGGAGGCTGAGGCAAAGAAATGCATGACTGAGGCCAGCATGGGCAACTTGGCGGCAAGACCCTGTCTTAAAATGAAAAGGGCTCAGCTCAGAGGTAAAGCCCTTTCCTCACATAGGGATGTTCTAGTTTCAATACCCAGCAACCCATACCCACCCCACCAAAAGCCATAGGCTAGAAGACTAGATGATACATAAGCCTGACAAAAGATTACTATAGTAAATCAGTAAAATTATAACTCAACAGAAAATTGAACCAAAGCTATGAATATAATTCTGTTAATAAACTAGAAAATGCATATTAAATGCACATTAAAACAATGAGATACCTTTTTATACTCATGTCATATTCTGGCAAACAAAGGTCTGGCTATACTCTGGTAAACTTTAGATAACCATTTTTTTAAGAAAGTAATTACCCTATGACCCAGCAAATCCCACTATTATACATATATATACTAGAAAACCTCTCACATGAGGCCTTTAAGAAAAAACTGGTAATCAGATATCTGATACCTAATAAATCATGCACCAAATGGGTATAGCAGTGAAAGTGAGTAAAATAAATCTACACACACCAATATAGCTAACTAGTGCAAATAAAATAGAAAATAAAAGTTAACAGTGTGATTCCACAATCATTAAAAAATACACAGAGCAACAGTGTGTCTGATTTATGGATACATTCATATACAGTGAAATCATAAAGACCCATGTGAGAAGTCTAAATATCAAATCACATGATGTCTGTCTTAAGGACAATCATTAAGTTTATGAGCTGGGGTTGTGGCTCAGTGGCAGAGCACTTACTTGCCTATCATGTGTGAAGCACTGGGTTCAATTCTCAGTACCACATATAAATGAATAAAATAAAGGTTCATCAACATCTAAAAATTTTTAAAAAGTTCATTTTAAACTATTTTAAATTTATAGTAAAACAAAACATGAAAACATTTGAAAGCAAATATGTTTATTGACTATTTTTTCACACCATTTTTATCAGTTCAACATGTAAGAATAAGGGGGAGGAAAAAAAGAACAGCACTACTTGCAGAACAAATAAAGAAAACTAAGCCTGAAATAAAACAGAAAAGTTCCCTCTGGTCTCTTGTAGATGCTCTGCACTGTCTATACCTAAAAAACAAAATGTGTGTTACTTTAAACCTCTGCTTTATGTAAATTGTTCACATATAGTTGTTGAATCACAAGAGTTATGTGAATGAATAAGATAAGAGGTATCTGTTAACTCAGTGCTTTAAAAACTATCAGGAGCTAACTGTTCAGTCATGCCATATGCACACCACAGTCATATGCCCTGAATTACTTATGGTGCTCACTGTCCTGCTCGCCCCATACCCATCTGGTACTAGGACGGTCACAACAGCCATTCCAGTGTTCTCATAAATATGGGGCCTCTGATGCTGATGCTCAAGAGGTAAGAAGGGCCTAAGAAGAAATTTGGAGGAGAGATTCTTGTAGAGTTTTGTTCATTCCTTTGAGAATCAAGGAAAATCAAAGGGTGCTTTTATAAGCAATTCAGCATTATTTATGCTATGGCAGTCACATGCTTCATGTCAACTGGAAGAGTGGATGAGAAAGTACACTTACATCATTCATCTCTGTCTGCCAGCCCCATTTCTACTAATGACATATGAACTGGATACTGTTCATCTTCATATAATGTCACTATTTGTTCTGGTGCCTGAGCCTAAAATTGAAAGGTACAGCTGTCAACAAAACCATGTCTTTGCTGCCCTTTCCTTCCTACTCTGGCCATTCACACAGGAGGGAAAAGTCATTCTCTAGACTTATTTCTAATTTATACTTTGTTAGACTTATTTCTAATTTATACTTTGTATTTCCAAAGGGCATCAGCAATGTTTCCTGCTAAATCCATTCTTTTCTTCTGCTCTATCTAAACTGTAATTAAGTCTCAATCTTTTCCTAGATGGACTTTAATTAATTACCATTATCTATGTTAAAGTTGATCTGCGCTCCACACTCAAAGTCCCCTGTTTGCATAAACGGAGTATATTTGATTGTTATTCACAAAGGTGAAAAAAATACTTATTTGTAAGAAATACTTGCCCTGGCTTCTTGAGAGAAATCCTACATGAACTCTACACACACACCACTGTGACATGCATAGGGGTTTTTTAAACAGCACTTTCTAGTAACATTACTGTCTCATGAACTCATCATATCTTATGTGTAAATCCCAAAGTCATGGATGGGACCAGGCAGGTAACATAAAGGAAGGAGGGAGGCAGGCAGGGTCAATACCAGTAATAAGGATGAGGACAACCTCTGAAGGTCAACTTTCCATCTAGCACCAGTCTAGCTGACTGCCTTACTGGGAAGGAGATTGGGGATTTCTATAATGTAGATATGTTTCTATGACAATCCTCATCCCTGCAAATTAACCTAACCCATACCTCTGTGGTAATACTTATTGCATTCTAACTCAGATTAAGTAGTGGTTTGCATGTTTGTTTCCCTTCATTAATTTACAAGTTCTTTAATTACAGGATATATAGCTTGATTATTTAAATCTTACTCATTACCTATCATGATAGAGATAATAAATTTTGTTATATATAAGCTAAAATACCATTTAACAAATCTTAAGATTTTTCTTGTAGTATGCACAGTTTTTTATGCCTTAACTATTACATTTCTGCATGTAGATTTACATAGAAACAAAACACTACAAAATTAATAGGAACTGCTGGAAATAGTTTTTAAGAGAATTTTGGCTAATAAAGATAGATATTTACCATGGAGGAAGCATAGAGCTGTTTTCCTTGAAGACAATCTATCATGGCCCACAATGCCTCCATGCTCCACTTGGGACAATATGGTATTCTTGTCTTTCCTGAGTCTCTTATAGGAGGTTTAAAACCAGCCAAGAGAACCTTTATGGCTCGGGCTGGGTACTGCATAAGATGAAGAGGAATTTGACGCAGTCTGTCACAAAAGAAATTTTTTAAATGTTTAGAATGTTGCAATTCAAATTCTCTTTACAGTTGAAACTAAAACTCTTAGGAGAAAATATAAGGGAAAAGCTTCATGATGTTGGATTTTGCTATGAAACTAAAAGCATAACCAAGAAAAGAAAAACCAGATAAAATGGATCTCAAAAGTAAAAACTTCTGTGAATTAAAGGACATAATTATAGTGTTAAGGCAGCCCATGGAATGGAGGAAACTATAAATAAAAATGGACATTTCTCCAAAGAGAATATACAAATGGTAAAAAAGCACATGAAAAGATGTTCAACATCACTGATGATTAGGGAAAGGCAAATCCAATTCACAAGGAGTTCCTACCTTGCACCCATTAGGATGTGAAGGGAAGGAGGGCAGGAAAGGAAGGAACAGAGGTGGGAGAGAGACAAACCCCCCAAATAGGAAACCACTGTTGGTGGAAAAACTAGAATCCCTGGGGGAACTGCTAATGGGAATATAAAGTGGTATAGCTGTTATAGAAACCAGTTTATGACAGTTCCTCAAAAAATAAAATTAGAATATTTGATCTAATAATTCCATTTCTGAATATATATCTAAAATAATTGAAAACAGGATTTCAGATATTTGTATACACGTTGATACGAACAATATTCACTACAGGTAAAAAGGTGGAAGCAACACAAGCATCCACTGATGGAAAAATGGATAAATAAGATGTGGTGTGTATAAACGATATTATTCAGCCTTAAAAAATGAAATTCTGGCACATGCTACAACATGGATGAATCCTGGGAATAATGC